CCGACTCCACTGGCTCCCCATCCCCCAGAGGATTGAGTTCAAGATCCTATCCTCACTTTCAAGGCCATCCATGGCCTCGCCCCCTCCTACCTCTCTGATCTGCTACTCCCTGCCAACCTGTCCGTTCCCTCCGTTCAGCAGGCTTTGGCCTGTTCCATGTCTCCCGCCTGACCCGCCCTACCATCGGTGGTCGGGCTTTCAGCTTCTCTGCCCCCACACTCTGGAACTCCATCCCATGGTCCTTTCACCTCACTTCCTCCCTTGCCTCCTTCAAGGCCAGTCTCAAAACCCTTCTCTTTGACCGTGCCTTTGGTCTCCCTCCCACCTCTCTGCCTTCCCTCACGCTTACACACCCCTCCCTCATGCTCGTGCCCCCAACACCTGACTGTTCAGCACTTTGGGAGATCCTCCCGACATGAAAGGCGCTCTAAAATATATTTTTTTTGTTGTTGTTGTTCTTGCACGAGAATCAAGCCCAAGAACCTGATTGGTCGGCTGTTGTGATTATTTCCGCGTAATATCGTGTAATTCCTAGAAGGACGAGCAGAGTTTGTAGCCGAATAGGCATCAGCAAGCCAGCCTGGCATGTTCGAAATAGGCAAATGAAACTTCTTTCATGTTATGATTATTTTCCAATTCATGCGGGCACCTAAAACCCTTCCGCAGGTGCCTTGGTGCCTGCGGGCACAGGGTTGGGCACCCCTGCTCTCGAGTATCAGAGAATCTGACATGGGTTCCATCGAGTCCGATAGCATAGTGGTTAGAGCACTCACCTCGCAAGCAAGAGGATCTGGGTTCGATTTCCAGGTGGGCCAAAACCTTAGTCAAGTTTTCTTACTCCACACGCTTCTGTTTACCAAGCAATAAGTAGGAACCGGGTTGTTAATCGATTGGCGGATTGCTTGAAGTAGTAATACCTAAAAAAAGAATTGGTCACTCAATCCATGACTGTTTGTGGGACATTGCTGTGAACAATTGGTTGGTGTAAGTCGCCCACAAAACACACTGTCAATCCACTTTACAATATATTGTGTGAAAAGCTTTGAGACACTCAAAGATGTGATGAGGTGCTATATCAAATGCACAAATTATTATTATTAAAACTTTGATG